TCCCAACCGAGACACATAACTCGGGAGAGTTTAGTTAAGGATCCAGCTGAACGATTTCCCAGCTTGGTTTGCATCAGAGCATCTGACAACAGACTCTTGGCTGTGCCGTTCAGGCAGGCAGACTGGAGGAGGACACATGTGGAAGGGTGCTAATGGACCCCCTTGACTCTTGACAGTATCTATGTGTTAAACCAGACTTCAGGTCAGAAAGGCAACAGTGATAAAACAGGCAAGAAAACTGAGCTAATTTCAGATGTGAAAAAAAAAACAACAAAAAAACTCCAAACCTAAAAAAACCTCTCCACATTCAAAGGATTCTAAATTAAGCAATACATTTGCATTCATGCAAATATATTTTACTCTGAAGGTGGTTTATTATTATTATCATTAGGCAATAAGTGACAATGTGGTATGTCATTGAACACCAGCATTACTTGAGGACTGAATATATTGACACCATCAGGAAGCTCTTCCGAGACTGAAGGAAAGCACCAGCTGCCGTGTTTATATTTATCTTGGCAGGTCTGTGGGCTCTAGCCTGACAGATACCACGTAGTGATGTTTGTAAAGCGAGGGAGCATCTACTTTACATCATGTTATGAAGTTTCTTCACCCTATTATTTTCAAATACAAAATGCCCAGGCTTCAAGAGAGAAGTGAAAGGTTAGTAGCACCAAGATCTAAGCCTGGATAAGTAATGGAAGAAAAAGAACGTCTGAGGAAGTCTTTTGCTTGACACAGTGGGGTCTTCTTCCGGCAAGTGGGAATTGCTGTGCAAAAAGATTTGTTTACATTTGGTCTGGACAAAGAGGTAGAGGACTGGTAAATTAGTTGCTGTGTCTATGCTGCTGTAATCTTAAAAGAGGTGCTCGATATCTCTTGAGATCTTGGGTGACCTTGGGATCTCTTCCCATTTTAGGGAGTTGGGGAGGTTACAGATACACTGGCAGAAGGCTGGTTCTAAAATTGTCCAACAGAGGAAGAAATGTGACTCTTTTAAAAGTGTAAAATGTTTTCAGAACAACGTGGGTTTTTCCTTGTGGCTTTGAGAAATGTGATGGATCTGCAAACAGTGATATAAGTGATGAAAGTTGAATTAGAGCAGTTTAGAGAAGGGATGTAGATCTGGCGTGTTATTTTGGCATAACTAGTAAGGTTACATACACAGGTAGGATGGAAAACCAGCTCTTCTAAAACAAAAACAACAGCATTTTATTTTGCCTTAGGCAAAAAGAATGCAATAACTGTATTATTCAGGTCATCTTTATTCTCTGTTACAACACAAACAATGGACAAATATGCACTTGCCTTCATAAGGTACTAATAAAAATACTGGCAGCTGTGATGTGGATGCTTTCTTCAGAGGAACTGGGGATTTAAGGATTCTCTTCTCCCCAACACCAGTTACAAAATTAGTTTCATGGACCTATGTCTATTTATCCCAGCATGGCAAATGGAAGAACAAGCTTGAACATGTAAAATAACGACGTGCAGTATGAAACACTGGGAATGTTTCAAGCCGTTGAGGCACTTGTAGTTCAGTTGAGTGGCCATTTATGAGCATAGAAATAAGTGACTGTTCCTCTAGCAATCAGCACCAATGTAATTTATTTCTCACAGTGCCAAGTCCTTAATCCTTGCCTTGGATGCTTTTGGCCGAAGAACCCTTCTGCTACCATGAGAGTAAAGTTTAGCATTGGAGATGGCCCTCTTCTAGTCATCTGGAGATATTGCCATTTGTGCATCAGATCCCCAAAGTTATTATCAATGCACTCCAGAACCTCCTGGATTGTTTATGCCCTGCTGTGTTGTCTCTGCAACAGAAAGCGGCATGGTTGAAGTCCCACATGAAGACCAGAGCCTGTGAACGTGAGGCTGTCCCTGTCTGTCTGTAGAGGGCCTCATCCACTTGCTCCTCCTGATCAGATGGCCTACAGCAGACACCCAGTACAATGTCCCCTTTGCCTGTCCTCTTTTTAATCCTCACACATAAGCTCATCCATCCCCAGGCAGAGCTTCAAGCACTCCAACTGCTCTCTTACATAAAGGACAACTCCTCCTCCTCCTCATCTTCCTACCCTGTCCTTCCTAAAGAGCCCGTATCCTTCTAATGCAACACTCCAGTCATGGGAGCCATACCATGTCTCTACGATTCCAACAAAATCATAGCCCTGCAACTGTGCGCAGATCTCTAACTCTTCAGGTTTATTCCCCATACTGTGTGCATTAGCGTACAGGCACTTTTAAGATGCACCCCAGCACGTTGAGCTCCTGGAGAAAGTTTGGGGTATTTGTCCACAGTGATGCCTTGTAGGCAGCTTGCTAGAGGTGACCCAGCCCAGGCCATATTTTGATGACTTTATGAACCCTTCCTGCCACACTGTCCCATGTCCTTTATTCAGCAATCCTGTCCACTGCTCCCTCACAGGACTGCTGGTCGCCCTGTGCCTGCCCCATCATTCCTAATTTAAAGCCCTCCTTAGGAGGTCAGCTATCCTATTGGCGAAAATAGTTTTGCTCTGCCTAATGAGGTGGATCTCATCTCCCCCAAGCAGGTGCCGATCTGCAAACAGTTCCAGCATTATGGAACCCAAAATCCTGCTGCCAACACCAGTTCCGCAGCCATTTATTAATTTCTCCTGTTAATGCCCTCCTCCTTGCTCCTTTTCCCCTCAGCAGTACCCTGTGTGATAAAGCTGCATAGGGATGCTTTTGCCAAGAGCTCCTGTAAATTTTGGTTGAAAAGGCTCTTTCTGTTGATTTAAAAGTAACCTAGGCCACTGTCTTGTTTTGGCTTCAAGGGCCTGGACTCACTGATATGGTAATGCTTAGTTAAATATTCATATCAAAGAGATGCCATGACTAGGAACACAGGCATGGAGTTTATTTGCAGAAGACAAAAAATAACAGAGATATGCTGCCCCGAGCTTGCATTTCCCCTCATCTATTTCCTCCTTGCATGACAGAAATTGCTCTCTACCCTAGGGAGTGTTATGGATGTATTCATTAAGGAACTGGCCCACACGCTAGCAAAACTACTTTTAGGTTTTTGTAAGAATTATGGGTTACTCTGCCTGCACCACACATAGACCAGACAAGCTCTTCCCATTAATTCTGGCCAGCTCAGGTGAGCCAGAGAGTGGTTTGCTCTACAGCCCTGGGAGCATTTTGCTGAGTGGTGCACCTCACATTCCCTGGATATGTATTTTCCGTGTGCTTCCTAAACAAGCACACATGGAGCTTTCATTTCATGCTTGTAAGTGAAATGTATAAAAAAAAAAAAAATAAAACAAGTGCCAAGAGAATTGTCTTTTATCATCGTTGCTTTTGAAATTTCACTGTGGGAGTTTCGACTCCCTTTACCTCCTGATTCTTAATCTCACTTACTTCTGTGTAATATGAATGTCAAAAGATAAACGGTGGGACCTTTCAGCGATTGGTTGGGAAGATACCTTGACTGGCTGCCAGGCTGAAAAGATACTCCTAAAGAAACTATTAAAAATCTGCTGCAGTGAAACGGGAAGAAGAAAGAATGTGTCAGATATAAAAGCAACAAAAAACTTATGCTGGCTCAAAGACAAAACATCCTACTTAGTCTAACTGTTTCTCACAGGCAAGCTAATACTGGGGTCGCTTCTGTGCATGGGCAGCTTCTTAAAATAATAAATATTGCCTTAAGAAAAGGAGTTGCAAGGATCTTGAAGCTAGCTGATGTATGTTGTCATGTCCCTCAAGGCATTAGCATCTGATGTGCTTTTAGGAGATGAATCAGGCTCCAAAGTTATCCATGTACAAAAATGAGCTTCCAAACAAGCATAAGTAAAAAAAAAAAAAAAAAGAAATACTAAAAAGTTGGTTTTAGATATCATCTTGATTTTTTTCTGCCCTTGTGGTCCTGAGTGGTGTTTCTCAGTGGGATGCAGCTACCTCATTTCAGTGTGAAAGGAGATATCTTATGCTAATGGAAACTTGCAAAGGTATGAGCTTGGCAAAGAAATCCAGAAAGATTAATAAACAGCAGAGAAGAGTTTCTTCTTTTATGATCTACATACGGCTGTCTTAGGACTTGATCCAGCTCCCAGGAGCTCCAGTGAGAACTCCAGCAGGTTAGAAATATCTCCAGAAATCTTGCTTCTCTGGAGTTTAGGTCCCTCAGTGTGGCTTTGGGACTATCAGCTCTCAAATTTGGAAGTAGACAGTTGCTTCTGAAGCACTTCACAGTATTATCATATATACACAAAACAAGAGATACAGAAAAAAAGTCCGATTGTTCTTAACTGCATCAGAAGACAGCAGTGACAAAGACAAGGGTCAGAGGGAATTTAAAAGGAGCTGATCTACTGTGTCTTATCTCTCTACTTACAAAAAGTGGTGGCTGTCAGTGATGGGCTGCTCTTAAAGATAATAGTAGGGGTTAGTCTCATCTCTTTTCCCAAGTTTTCTCTACCATGCTCCTAGCCACTGGTAGCTGGAGAGCAAGAGGAGGTCAACTAATGCACAGAAACTTCAGACTATGCATGTGAGCTCATCATGATGTTAGGCTACTGTAAATTTAATCAGACACACCCTGCAATGTGGAAAGAAAATTCCACTTAGGAGAAGCAAGCTGCTTAATTTTCTCCACCGCCATCAATAATCATAACAATAATTGCTATGACTATTGTTTTTTAATTACAGTTCCAGGTAGAAAGGAAGAATTGGATCCCTTTCCAGTTAATGTTTTGTATTCCTCAGCTTCCTTTTTACAGTCAAAAGGGAATGGATTAATCTCTCTGTGAATTCTATTTTATGCTAAATATATCAGCTAACTATCCTTAATATGAGAACCCTATTGCACAGGGCAGCTTGTCAAATCAAAACATCACTGATGTACAAAATGCCCAAAACACAGGAAAAATAATCGCAGCATCAACAAAGAGCTGCTCATGAGGGACCACACAACATCACATTGGAATGGTGCAGGAGGGTAATAAAGCCCATATTTTAAATGTGATACCTACCTATTGTGTCTCCTTGCTCATGCACCATGGAGGCCAGGTCTTTAATGATCTGGTTCACATCCAACATGTCACTCTGAAAAGACAGAAAGTCTAACATTAATGATGAATGGGTAATACCCAAGCATAAAAGGCATGTTCCACTGTCAAGCTTTGCAAAGAAAAAACAAACCTGGCAAACTTCATCTGTGTAAAATTAAAAGAAAAAGTTATAATGCTCCCACAGTAAACAAAAATCTCCTGAAAGCCATGGTTTGCTGGATCTATGTCAGCCAGTTGACTCAAGCTTTCTATAAGAAACAAGTAGAATGATCAGATTGTATATTTGCTTTTCCGAATTGCAGAGGACTAAAAGAGAAAAAAACAACAATAAAAACAACAGCAGCAAACCCTCTCTTTCTAGAAAAATTATTGTTGACGCAGGCCATTCATCCCAGACTGTGGATTCTTATGTAGAAATGGCTATCTTTCAGCATAGCATCCGTCTGATAAAATGCTATTCGTAAACTGATTGAGATATGATCAAAAACTCACTGAATTTGAAATCTCCTTATTGGTAAGGCAATAAGGAAAGACCTGTTTGATGAACGGATTCATTTATATGTTTCCAAGCATTAAAAAAAAAAAGTAACTAGATTCAGCACTGAAATTTTGTTAGTTAAAACACAGCAAATTGCCAGTAGTTTGTTTCCCTCATTTCTGAAGACTTACCATATATAAGAGCAAATGTGAGCATGTTACCTTCATATGACACTGTCTCTTACAAAAAGAATTAATCTAGCAATAATAGACATAATAATACAGATACTGCTAAATGCACTACCAGTAAGGCAACATTAGCAGATCAGAAAAAAAAAATCCCACTCACACAAGATGCACTTTGTTAAGCTGTACAAATCACAGAATCACAGAAACATTGAGGTTGGCAGGAACTTCTGGAAATCATTTAGTCCAACACCCCTTCTGAGAGCATTCAGTTAAAGCAGGTTGCTGAGGGCCACGTCCACTTGGTTTTGTGTATCTCCAAGGACAGGGACTCCACAGTCTGGCTGGCCACCAGTATGTCCATGTACCCCTTGTACTGGGGAACTCAGCACTGTATGCTTTCTAAAGCGTTGAAAACATTTCCTAAGAATCTGCTTCTCCCGAGGCTATTTGCACAGTAATTCATTTATCTGCTTGGGTCTTGTTGCAACTCTAGTCCCTCATGCCAAAAGGTCCGATTGCTTCCACCTCACTTTCAAAGAACTCAGCTTCCCTACTGGCAAATTTAGAAAATGGTGCAAAATTAATCCACACCTTTCTACTGAAGTTTGTCATGAGAATATAAGTGGCATAACATTTAATCATATAATGCAATAGGCTTGCATTAATTTGCGATGAAGCCTGGGAGTCCCATTGTGAATTCTAGAATACACCAAATTGTTGAATAACTGAAGAAGTGGGAGAAACAAAAGGTTTAAAAAGCTGCGAGAAATCATAATAAAACAAAAACAAAACCCCAACCAAAGACTGGGTAATGCATCACAAAATGGACTTCATTCATTCACTCATCAAGCGTAATGAAGCTTTAATTATGTATGGTATTATTCATAACTTGTAAATACTGCAGAATATTTTGTAAAAGCAATGAAGTTTAAGTAACTTGAGATTGCACTTGAGCACTGTGGTAGTAAATCATTGCCAGGAAATGAGGAGAAATTAGTTGTGATTTTTTTGGGTGGGGGAGTTTTGGGGTTTTTTTTGTGAAAATCTTTCAAAGGAGAAATCTAAAGTTTAGCAAAATGTGAAGAACTGAGAATTAACTTTAATGTGTTGTTCTGCTCTCATTTAACTGCTTGGTAAAAGATGATTAAGGAAAAAATTAAACAAACAAATAATAATACTAAAAAAGCCCAGAATGCTCATTTGTCTCTCTTGGTTAAATTGCCACTGACATCAGTCTTTGGTTTCTGTTACTTGCAACATAAACAAAATTCTCTCTACCCTTCAGTCAGTCTGTTTTATTTTATTCTGCTTCTTTTACAGCACTTTAAGTGAATGCAGCTTAAAACTCATGAACATGTTTTTGCATGTACACTTGCTTAGATAGAGGTTATTGCAATATAGTAAATTATACATGCCACGCCTGCAAAGTATTTTCCATCGGAATAAAACAAGCAGGCAATTTGGCCTAACAAAGATCAGATGATATATTGACTCCTCCTAGGGTCCTTCTCAGCTAATTTAACTGCAAGGAGTTGGGCTGTCTGCTTACCAATCCCCGGATATTATGACGAGAAGGGAAGAATAAGAAAGGAAATTCAATGCTGTATATGAACAGTGCTGTTTCAGATTTGCCATTTATATCCAGGTACTTGGGACAAAACAGCCATCTGCTGCTGCAGAGTATAGATCCTTTTCGTAACATTGTAACAACACTTAAAATTAATGTTTAGTAAACATGCATTAGTTAAAGCCAGCCGCTGAGTTGCTAGGAAGAAAAAAATGCGACTACTGTATTTAAGGAAAAACAAACAGGGGTAAGTTGTAAAGCACAGAGCACAAAGCAATCTGACCTGAAGCAAGGAATCTGTTGAATAATTTAACCTGGCAATGTGAAGTTTCAAAGTCCCTGATATATGTAAGCAAAACAAAAGAAAAAATAGAAGAAAGAAAAATAGCCAGAAATAAAGACCTTCCATAATGGAATATACCTAGGAGCTATGTTCCTGTTCCTTCTTGCCAGGTTAGCTCTATCATGAAGTACCTCTGAACTTGCCGGGCATCGGAGTTTGTTAGCAAAATCAGATTGCCTTTGGTTTCCCACATTTACACATACTATGCGGAATTCATGGTGAAATACAGCTCCTCATAAATCTCTTTGACTCCACAGAAACCAAGAGGACAACAGTAAGCCACCGTTCCAAAAATGCTGCCTCCCTGCCAGGTAACTAGGCTGGGGGTTTTTTAGGGTTTTAATCAACACCAGCCTTTCCTGTCTGGCAACAATTCACTCACTACATTCCACACAAAGAGGGAGACAGATTTAAATTGTTTCATCTAAATCCTCTGTTTTGTTTTGTTTTGTTTTGATTTTTTCCCCAAAGGAGAAATCCATTTTTCAGATTAGTAGACAGGTTTTAATGTCATCAATGCTGGAACAAAAAGAATTAAACTAGTCAACAGTAAAATTAGAGACGGCAAAAAGAAATGGCAGTAGCTAAAGATAACCAAAAACCAGAGAAGTACCAATAAACAAGTCATGCAGATGAGAAAATCAGAGCAATGGAAGAGTTTGGGACCCTGAAGATCTGGAGGATTAACTCTCACTAGGGAGACTTAAGTTTGGAAACTTCTTAACAGAAAGGACTAGGTTAAAATGGCAGGACTATCTGAGTCATTTAACCTGACTCAGTAAGTGAATAATGTCACTGCAAACTACTGAGATTTTGGAAAAAAATCTGAAATTCCCACTCTGGCACAGAAACGGTTGGAAATATGATTTTGCAGATAAACTAGAAATTTCCTTTTCCCATTTTTTACTTGAACAAGACCACAATTTAAACGTTTTTAAAATTAATCTGGGAGCAAGTCGGGTTGTAAAACCCAGACATTGTTACCAAGATGGGAACAACCTAACCATAAATCCCAGCAGCCCATTTCCCCACAGAATGAACATTACTGAGGTATTTGCCAAGACAGCAAATAAGTAAACCTCCTCTCACTTCCACTCTCATGCTTAGGGGGGTTAAGATTTACCCACACTGAAAACTTCTAACACAGCCACAATGAAAACTTCTAACACAGCCCTGACCTTAATGTTATCATAAGGACACTTCTGTATTCCAGCCACGAGAATGGATTTAAATAAACCAGAGAGGGGAAACACGGTCTCCTCAATAGGACACAGAACAAGCATGTGCTGTCAATAATTTCTCTCTCACATTTAGCCAGATCCCAGCATCCTTTATCAATGTCAGCTCAGGTCCTCAAGGGAAGAGTCACACTTATTTCTAAGAATGTTTGCCTTAGGTTTGTATAAAAAATGGGATCAGAAATATCAGTGGTCTATTCCATTCAGCACATGTGCTTTTGTGTGTACTCACAAACCATCCACCCATTTTTTAAAGGACTACAAATTAGCATCAAAATTAATTGCTGACTCAATGTTCAGGAGATGCTGAATTCTACAAGTGAGGTCCCATTCTGCCCCACCATCCACCCTGCAACAAGCAACCAGGAGAGCTACAAACTAAACCTGAAGGAGATTCTGAAAGATGTAACATAATGTCCATGTGTGTATTTCTGTATATGGAAGCACTCCACAACAAAATAAAGTAAAACAAAACCTTAGTCCTTGTTATCTTTGGGGAAAAAAACAAAAACCCAAAATGAGAAAACCCCTTTGTAGTGTATGACATGTTTTACCAAAGAGATGCTGAGATGCTCCTTGTGTATTGTCCCATCTGCAACATCCTTGGGCCATCTCCTACCCTGTGGTCCACCATGTGTGAACCACAGACCCAGAGCACACAGAAAGACTAATCAAAGCATGGTGTTCGTCTGTCCCTATTCTGTTCTACAGGGGAAGGAAGGGAAAGGGAAAAAACAATATAAAAAGTGAGCAAGCTTCTCTGATGCTAGATGGGCAAAAACTAAATCTTGCTGCAACAGCCTTTCAACAAATATTTTTCTCTTGTCTATGGCTGGGGAGAAAAAAATGACATTCTATAAATCAAACTGATTCAGCCTAAGCAACAACAGACCAGCAGAAAATTGTTTTGAGGGCAGAAGCTATCCAGAACAGCAATTACAGACTGAGTTAGATCTCCTCTGGGACTGAACAACAGCCAGTGTGGGGAGTTTCTCTCTCCCTCTTGCTCGCTTGTGCGCTCTTCCTCTTTATTTTGCTGTCTTAGCGGTCAGTGCCATCTCAGAAAGTGTAGCAGTGCACTGCATAATTAAAATAGTTGTGCTGAGTTTCAGCATGCTAATCCAACATCTACCTGGGGCTCACAGAAACACAACATGAAGAGTGTTCCTGTCCACCAAAAGACAAATGAAGAGGCTGTGGAAGGTGAGATGCCACAAGCT